TGTAAGATGGATTCAGAGGTTCATTTCTGTCTCTTACTCCATGATTTCTCAGGGGAAAGCCCAGAAATAAATAAGAGTGGCAATGAGAAGACCATCATACCCTTACAGCAATCCCTGCATTTCAATAAGGCATGTGCACATCAGTGTGAAAGGCTGTTGTGGAGAGACGGGAAGATTTTACGATGATTGCAGGATGATTAAAGTAGTTTTTAATTCCTCTTCTCCTCTTCCCTTCTTCCTCTTTCCCTCCCTCCTCTGATGGTTCTGAGGATCAAACTCAACTCAGGGCAACATGTGTACTTGGCAGATATTCTGTCATTGACTTACATGCTTAGCCCCTGCACTGTGTCCTTCTTCAATTATTTCTTATTTCAAATACCTTTATGTGGTTGAAATTGATGAGTGCATTTATTCTCTGTGCTATGCAAATAATCCCCTTTGATATCTTGGGAAGGACTCTTTGACCTTGACCTGATCTGAATCACAGTATTGTTTTGTTTTCTGCCTAAAAAAATGTATTTTATATAAATTTAGGCTATTGTAATATAGCCTTATGAAACATATAAGTATGAAGTGGCTCATTTCTTTCTGGTAGTAAATTAAGCACAAAACGATTTTTAATTCGGAGATATTTGCATTCTTAAATGACAGCTGAAGTCATTTGTGAAAACGTTGTTTAATGATCTAGAGAAGCATGTGCATATACATAAGCTTGGAATTTATTTTTGGTGTGGTATCTTTGCTCTTTTCCTTATGAATATTATATATGATAGACCTTCCTGAAAGATTTAACTTCTATGTCATTTAGCAACATTCTCTTTTGTTGGACGATTCTGGATTGGTTTGTGTTGTTTTCTCTAGAGTTTAAATTTGAGCACTTTCTTCTCATTTTGCTAACTTGGGACTATTCAATTCCATATGCCCGTAAGTCTCACAGCCAGAATAGTGAAGCCAGGGCTTAATCTACATGTATTAACCCTAAGTTTTGTTGTTGCTATCTTACAATGTTTTATACTTTATGTAGCGTTGAGTTAAACAACAGTGATTTCGCAAGTCATCTGCAAGATACAAATCTTTAAAAGTAAAATTTGCTAAATTTAAAACTGACTTTAAAATTTCCAAAAAGAACTTTTCTGAAATTTTGTTTGATCAGGATTCAGCATTCATAAACGTCAGTAAGTTTAGTCTAACTAAATCTTTACTGAGTTCACCAACTCATTTCTCAAAATGTCTTCAGATGGGGTCACACACTGTCCAATAAAGAAAATGTCAAGCTCAATCTTAGTTTTCTGGGTGCCTTTTTGTCTTATGATGGCCTCAGAGTCATGATGACTTTTCTGAGACTAACCACGGAAGTTCTACAAGTATGACTCTCCAAAGTGGTCCTATTTTCGTTGGAGATAATTTACTATGTCTGGAATCCCTAACATTTGTTGCTTTTAATGAGAGAAATAATACCAAAAATATTTTGACATTCAGCCAACAAAATTAATATGCTCAACAAAGGAATGTCTTCAGATCTGGGGCTTGATCACTTTTGTTTCTGAGGTCACAGATTTGCTGAAAGAAACTTGCAAATCCATTCTCCTCTCTCCTTTTTCACCAGGTAAGCTCACGCACATGCGTGTGTGCACACACACACACATACACACACACAAAGACTCATACATCACGTGCACTCTCACACACAGTCTCTCTCTCTCTCTCTCTCTCTCTCTCACACACACACACACATACACACACACACTTTAACAATCAGGTCCCATTAAACTGGTCACACACACAGCAGCTCTGGGTCACCACACCTTCCCAAGAGAAACTGACTTCACCTTTATTCTCAGTTTACATTACCAGCAATAGCAGCAAACCTTTCAATGCTCGCAATGTTCCCTAGGAGTGTATCAGTTGAGCAGGCAGGGAAAAAAATCTGGGGGAAGTTTATTATTTTTCCACCAATATATTTGACACCACCTTTGGAAAGGGAACAAAAGGCGCACTGTCAAGAGGACAGACCTGGACAAAATGTTACTGTTTGTTCTTCGCAAGCACAGAGGTATATTTAAGCAAAGAAAGACATTCCATAGCTCTCTCGGGACTTCCTTCCTCTAGCTGAATTTATACCAGCATGTTCACACCAGCGTGATTCAAACTGAGCTGGAATTTAAAATGCAGGCCTCTATTTGCCAATGCTTAAATACCACAGCTACAGAAATTCATATTAGACTTCAACTTGCCCTTATAATGTCATAGGATATAGAGACAGCAAAGTGTGTCCACATGAAATTACAGTAAAGTCGTGGACTAAGAAGTGCCCTTGTTTGACAGCTTCTGTATCTACACAACAAAGCCTTTAAGTCACCAAGAGTCACCTGGCTTCGGATTAGGTTTCCAGTCCAGGCTTGTTGACACTCATGAAACGTTTGGCAAACAGGGGCCGAGTTTCGAGCAAGGCTAGGAAGAATACTCTGTGAGCCTGTGTGAAACTCGGTGGCCTTGGCTAGGTTTCTCCTTGAGTTTCACGTTCGAACAATCCAATACTTCAAAGTAAACTAAAACAGAGGGGCACGAGGAAGAAGGGGCTAACAGGACCTGGCATGGCTCATCGGGAAGGGGTCAACAGTCTCCCGTCTGGAAAACTCGCTTCTTCCTGATGTTCTTGACTGTGCATCTGTGCTAACAGCACTGCTACAGACTCCAGGAACACAGCTGTTCCCGACACTGCTCCCAAGCCTTCCTGCTGCTCAAAGGGACCATCCCTGATCCTCAGAGGTCCTCGAAAGCAGTGAAGCCCTCGCTCACAGTCACAGGGGGATTCACAAGTTGACGAATCCCAGAAATAAGACGGTTGATGTGTTCATTATAGGGGATTCACAAGTGTACCAGTTGCAGAAATAAGATGATCGATGTGTTCATTATAATGTAGAGAGCAAGAGGCCGCATAGCAAGGCAATGATGCTGACCGTTTTCCAGGCTTTCCTACTATAATCCACATGCTGGAGGGGAGAACTCCAAGTACTTCTGCTTGAGGAGGGGCATTCCTGGAACGTTCTCCCTCCCTCTGCCCCCATCAAGTCCCCTGTGGTGGCTGTTGGCTTCCTCTCCTTACAAGGGTCACAGAGCAGACTGCATCAGTCCCGCAGTGTCACAGTCTGAGACCTCACAGCCTCTTCCTGGCTATTAGGAGCCTAGGACTAAGCTCCTAGCCTCCAACAGACAGGGACAATATTACCCAGGGTACCTAGAACAGTAGCTAACAGGGGGCTTTGAAATAGTCAAGGCTTTAGGGAAGAAAAGAGCAGAAAGCAAATGCGATATGTATACAGTTGTGAAAGTAAAGACAATAGTTAAAACTGATTTACTGAATGATTAGTAAAAGTGTTAAGATTCCATTCATTTTAGGAAGCACCCTGTGTTTGTTCTATTAAAGCTCTTCATCCCGTACATCAAAGAAATTTCACTCAAACTTTTGGCTACTGCAGAGTTTCTTTTTCAAATTTATTTTGCTTTTCTTTCTTTTTAAAATTTCTTCAGCCTTTTTCTTCTGTCTTATTCTTCTCGTTACTCAAAAGGCCACTCTGCCATTTAAATACTTGTTTTTCTGTTTTGGTTTTTGCCTTTCGCCAAAACTCTTTTGGTAAAAAGCATCTTGAAATGCCAAGGATTTCGGTGCCCATGCTTTGAAAAGCAACAATTAGGCCTCAAGGCACATGGTAATTTGGGGGATGCAGGAGACTCCTGTGGGGTTTGACAGAATCTGTTCTATGAACTGCCTATGCTACTTGCTTTTAGATATCCTGAGCTGGGTCTTGCTGAAACTGTGATTCTCAAACTTTGGGTTGCCATCCCTAGGGTGCTGAATCACCCTTTCATAGGGGTGGCCTAAGACCATTGGAAAGCACAGATATTTACATCACATTTCATAGCAGTATCGGAATTATTTTTATGAAGTAGCAACGACAATTTTGTGGTTGGGGTCACCACAGCATGAAGTGTGTACTAAACGGTCACAGCGTTAGGAAAGATGAACAGCGCTGTGTTAGATAGTCAATGTGATGAAAGAGCTTGGCAGGAGGACGTTTTTCTTTAAGGTGCAGGTTCCTTTAGAAATAAGGTCTAAATCGTAGCAGCAGCAGAAGCTAAGCCCGTAAATTATCTGAAGGATTGGCTATCAAAGCATTAAGGAAAAAAAAGCCTTTTTACTAAACATAGTAAATACTCACAATCAAAGTAAATGGTGTGGTTGAGGTTAAAGTCCACAGATCAAAGTGCTTTGCAAAATGTCAAGTGCGAGCATAAGGGGGGGGTGCGGGGAGGGGAGAGCCAGATCACTAGCCAAAAATGTTTACTGTCAAAGAAAACCCATCGTCGTAAAATCTACCTCTTAAGAGAGCAGCTTAGCTAAATTTCAGCCTGGGAAAGGAGTTCCCAAAATCAGTCACCCCAAAAGACAAAGGACAGTAGGAGTCTAAAACCCCACAACAACAATATTGATGATAATAATAATCCAGTCTCCGAACAACTTCTCAGTCCGCACCAGCTGGGAAAACAGTCGTTAAGAGCACAGGCGTACTGTAAGATAGCCACCTTGCTGTCCGTCAAGAGCATTCACGAATACAGTCTTTACTCAGGTGGGCTGCATCTTGTTTAAAGAAAGGCTTTAGAAAGTTAAAATAAGAGCACAGTCTAAACAACGAAATGATGGTGTCTAGAGGTCCTGTCACCTCTGTGGGAGTCGCGGAACAAGAACTCGGAAGCAGTGCTCCGTAGCAGGCGGGTCTGTGTGGCAGCCACTGGGGACAGAGGGCTTTAGGCAAAGTTTACAATTACACTCACAAAAAATACACAATGATGCTGCTGCATCCCAGAAGCAGGGTCTACCTGGGAATCCCCCGGCCGTCTCTTAGGTTCGCTAAAAAAGTTATTTTAGAGACACTAGTCATGACCACCCCAGAAAAGAAGTTATTCCTGAATTAAAAAAAAAAAAAAAAAAAAAACCTTACCTTGAAGAGGCTGAACTTCACAGTTGCTCCACAGAGGAAGCGGGAGTCCGTGGCCTTTTCCCGTGTAGAGATTGTTTATTTAGCCCTTTTTAAAAAGGTCTTGACCTCCAGAGGTTTAAGATTAAGTCCAATCCAAGGGTCTGCAGGGAGGAAAAGGGGGACCCGGGGGTCAGTAGAGAACACAACTGAGAGAGGCCGAAGAACCTCAGCTGCTGGGTGGTGCTCCCAGCCTGAGGGCATTTGAGCTATTTTCAGCATTACCAGCAGCTGGACTTGTCTGCGAAGGGCTGAGAATGCCTTGCCCGAATCACCACCCCCGCCCTGGTGGGGGGGAAAACCAACACAAACCAGGAAACCCACAACAACTTGGTTCATTGTGCAAATATTCATTGAAATTTTGAGGGAAACGGCCGGCGCTATTGAAAACACACACACACACACACACACACACACACACACACACACACACACACACACTTGATTGGATCTTAAAGGAACACGGTACCTTGCTCCAACCCTGAAGTTTTCAAAAGGGTTTACCTGATCAGTAGAAGAGAGTAAGACGCTATAGCACCCTGACCAGGGGACTTCTGAGTATCTCTTGCTTGCTCACAACAGGTCTTAAGGCAACGTTTTTTAGGTCTCTCAGCTAAACATCAGCTACCAGCCTGTTCTTAAGACCACAGGCAAATGGTTTCTTTCTAGCGCACACCTACATGCCCACTTTAAGTATGCTATTTTTGAAAGCTACCGGGTTAAGCTGATGACATTTCTTATCTGTTGGCTAAGACTGGGGACCATCCAATGACATGATGCAGAGAGGCTTCTGCCTCCACAAACCCAGTGGTTAAAAAAAAAAGAAGAAGAAGAAAGAAAGAAATATTTGACACTGGCTCACCGTGACAGGCAAACTTAGAACTTTTATTTGGTTTTCAGAATGAATAACCGCAAGTTGAGTTCAAGCATTCATTCAGTTAGCATGTATGGGGCCAGCAGTTCCCAGCTCACTGTAGGCTGGGAACTCCGTGAATACAAAAATGGGCAGATCAATGTTGTCTTGGCATTTGAAGATGGATTATACTCAGGCTGCCAGAGTAGGTGAAAACAGAACCAAGGTCTCTTTTCACCAAGGCTGAATCCTTGTTTCATGAGGCCTTCACTATGCCCCGTGTCCTATCTTGTTTTCTATCGCTCTGATACACACCGTGACCAAAAGCAACACTGCGAGGAAACGGTTGATTTTTATCTTACGGATCACAGTCCTTCACTGAGGGAAGTCGGGGCAGAAACTTAAGGCACAATCCTGAAGCCCGAAACTGAAGCATGGATTGTGGAGGAATCACGCTTACTGACTTGCTCAGTGCAGCCCAGGACCACCTATGTCCAAGAGTGGCCCCGCCCACAGTAGGCTGGGCCTTTGCATGTCAATCACTGATAAAGAAGGTGCTCTCCTGGTTTGCCCACAGGCAATCTCTCAGTTAAGATTCCCTCTTCCCAGAAGACCCTGGCTTGTGTCAAAAGACCAAGCAGCACTTTCACCAGGAAGGAAAGGCGGTGGCCCTATAAAGCAAATAGCGCAATATTTTTTTTAAAAGCCTTGATTCAATGAAGATGAATCCCCCCCGATCTTTTGTTCCTGTATCCGGCAACACAGAAACATGGAAGCAGACAGAAAGCAATGCTTTACTCAAGAGCTACAGGAAGACTCTCCGGTTGTTTTGTGCTTTGTTTGGAGACAAATACAAAACCAATTCCTTCGTTGCTTTAGTGACATTGGGAATGGCTTTTAAAAACATACTGGGGTCAGTCTAGTGGAGAAAGAGGTATGGTATATGGTAAAATATTGGAGCTGCGTTCACCATATACTAAAATGATGCAGATATTCTAATTTAAAATAAACCTTATGACTTAAATTTGAGGCATCTAATTATAACCTTAAATAAGGTTAGCTTTGATTTTAAAATATTTACCGGTTTTAAAATACCATTATAGACTACTACATTTTTCTGTTTGATTAAATAGTCCTATTTTATCAAGCGTTACTTAACCTACTAGTTTAGAATAGACACTTGTTTTAGTTGTTGAATGATAGTCCTACCAATAAATATTTGAGATCTATTCTCATACAAATTTCTTAAAATTATTTTTATTTGTTTTCTCCTTACAATACTTTATTTACAAAGAGAAACATTTTTCTCAGTGTGGCTCCACGAGAATCCATAAAAGTTAATGACACAAATAAGGATCAACTATCTGACTACCAAGTCAGCTATTATTTTTAATTCCCTGCTGCCTGCTTTCCACAGCAATCCCACAGGAAGCGCATTGCCTCACTCTCTTCTGCGAGGTCACGTTACCTCAGAGTCTACACTCAAACAAAGAGGTTATGGGTCTGGTCCCCGCCTCCACTTCACATTCATCCTGTTGTCCACTGTGTCTCACTAAAGTCTCTTTGCTCTCAAAGATCCTGAGCCAGGATTCAAGCAGCTCCTTCCAACATATTCGATATCCCAGAGAGAAAATTATACTTATATTTTAATGGTCCAGGAGGGTCAATTCTGATTTTTCTGTGTATCGGTTGTAATTTTATCTCAATGGAGATACTGATTACAGTCATTCACATTCTCTTTTCTTTCTAAAATAAATCAGTTTAGAATAATCCATCAATGATTATATTTAAGTGAACCTCTACCTTGGTCCAGAGATGTGAGAACAATAGGCAAAATATCTGGGCAGAGATGTGGGTTCTGTGAAAGAAGATGGGATCTAGACATGACAGCCCTGGTTAAAATTTAAAGCGGAGCCAGATGCTTCAGTAGTAATTGAATGTCTTGCATTTTGTATAAGCACGAGACAGACTTCAGATGCTGGAATAGGAGGGATCTTTTTGATGGAGATTCGTGAACACAAAGGAGAAGCAAACATTGAAAAGGCAGATCACTTGGGCACTTTCTTTTCTCCGTCCACGAATCTAGATGGTTCTGAGAGCAATGATTTTTTTTTTACAACCGTGCCCACTAGGACACAGTTTGCTTAGACCAAACCATCCTAGAGGGTGTTCACACCCCAAGGGAGAATCTTGTTAGCTCAAGTAACACCCCAATTAGAACCACTGGTTAGGCAGATATATGATTGGTAAGAGGGAGAGAATCTTTTTGTTATTCTTTCCTACACCGCTGCACCACCCTAAATAAATGAATAGGCCAGTTTTGAGTTTAATAGCCTCATCAGCCTTTCAAACATGCTCCTCACTGTTGCAAGTGGCCCCAGAGTGCTCAGCGCTCCAGAGAACTTCATCAAAATAAAGTCCCACTGGAAAAGAACATCTGGACTCACACTGGCAGCATTTAAGAGTTTCCACTAAGGCTGAAGCTCTGTGGCATGGTACTAGCATACCACAGAGGTGGCTCTGGGCCGTTCCCTAGCACAGCAAGACAGACAGACACACAGACAGACAGACAGACAGGGAATAAGATGATACCGCCCCCACCCGCTGTCACCTTACTTTTCAGAGGTTTTTGTTGTGTTTTTCTTTTGGTGGGGATACTTTAAAAAAAAAAAAAACTTGAAAAACGTAATGACTCCAAGGCTCAATGGCTAACGTGTGGCTACATTTAGCAATTATCTTGAGATAACATGTTGACTTCCAAGAATTTTTCTGTGCAACTTCTTCGGTTCATGTAGTTTGAAGCTTTTAAGAGTTCTTTTCTCAAGAGAACCGAGGCTTCTCAATCGCGGCCCCCTCGTACTCTATTCTTTGGGAGGATCTCGGGAGGAAGGAAGCGAGTGTAGTTTTCCCAGGAATATTGTTTTCGAGAGTTCACCCTCTTTGAAAAGTGAATTGTGTTGCAGATACCCGAAGGCTTTCGCCTTCTCAGTTCAGCGGCATCGTCTAATCCAGGAGAACAATGTTTCCTTCTCTCAGGCAAATGCTTCAGTGGTCTGAGGCAGCAAGAACGTCCAGAGCATTGGCACGGATTTCAAGGATGTATTGGAAAGGATGTCAGTCAGATTTTCTTACTGCGGAGACTATAGAAATCGGATGAAACTGAGTAAAGGGAAGGCGTGCGAAAGGACATAAAATAGAGCTGCAGTTAGGCACAGTGGTTCGCTTCGGTCATCCTCATTGAAGTGAAGCGCTGGCAAGAAAAGCACTGCTCTTAGTGTTAGCGCCCTAAGCTGGGAAACTGAGGCCCAAGACAGGGGCCTGATCACTCACGAAGCCCTCCTCTGTACTTGTACTCTGAGCTAAACTCTAAGACCTAACCAGCATTAGAATCTGTTTCCATTTGAGTCGCGTAAGTTCCTCCGACTCCTATAACTATATGAGGGCTGTCACATCGTACTTCTTTTTCTAATTACTTCCACTGCCGGCTTGTTGATGGTCAGATGGTTTTCAGAGGATTGTTTTGTACCTGTATGTAATGTTATACCCGGAGACTGGGCTTTACCAAGTGAAGCTCAGATCTTAATGAAAGTCTAACCAACTATTATCAGACGCACAATTTTCGTAAAAGCAACTTCTTAACTTTTGTTAACTTTTTTGTTAACTTTTCCAGTTAAAACTTCACTAATTGTAAAGTCACTGCCCTAGGGGATGGAGAGGTGGCTCTCAATGGCTAAGAGCTATGTAACTGTGGAGACCTGAGTTTGAATCTTCAGCACCCACCTAACAAGCTGGGGGAGAAAATCCATAGGAGATTCCTGGGGTTAACTGAGCTCTAGATTCAGGGAAAGACTCTGACTCAAAGCAATAAGGCACAGAGTGATGGGACAGGACTCCCAGATTTTTCTAAGACCCATCTGACATTCTGTTTAGGTGAATGAAGCCCTCAGCTGAGGTCCCTAAACAATATTTCTTCTAATTAAGGGAAAGATATATTATTCTATGTTTGTTTCTTGGCAAGCCGTGCCTGATGTTTATATGGCAGTTTAGGAACACACAGTTAGGTATGAGTTGCGTGGCACACACACTGCTGCCAACAACAGTCATGCCGGGCTCTTCCACATGGTGTGAAACCTGATTTCATTTGTATTGTACATTTGTTAGAACCACAAATGAATTGCTAGTCAATGATTTAGAAACTTGTCTTCCAGTAAAGGGGCAAATCAATGCCACCAGAAGAGGAAAGGAGGAACT